GTTTGCTTCGGGTTGCGACCAATTCGGGTTGCGACCAGAGTCACGGAACGGATTAAGTTTGTAACCCGAGGTTCCACTGTACTTAGGAAAGATAAAGCAAGGAAGTACTTTGAATATACTTCTAGATAAAATATTGCATATACTATCTGTGAATGAGATGGATATTATGAAATAATATGTTGTGGAAGAATCAGAAATACTAAAATAAGTTAATACTATTCTGCATGGCTTTTGCTTAAAAATGCATCTGTCAGATAAAAAGGATTGTACTTAAAATTCTCTAAATTAAAATGCATCATTTTAGAATGGGTATATTTGTGAAGAAAGCATATTGGCAAGTACAGAGGTAAAAATAAAAATGACCATCTGAACAATTGTGTTTTGATGATCATCCAGAACTTCATAAACTGGAGAATAAAGTTGTGGATAAACATTACAGGCAGTCCTCGTTTAGCAACTGCCTCAGATAGCAACCATTCACAGTTACTACGGTGATGAAAAAGTAACTTTGCGACCAATGCCTGCATTTACAACCTTCATAGTGTCTCAGTCATGTGTTTGCCATTACAGTCAATTAGTATTCTTCCCCCCAGCCCCCACAGAGTGGAGAGATTGCCTAAACAAGCTATCTCTTCCTGTGCAGCATTTCCCTAAAAAGTGCTAACTGCAAGTTAACAAGCTCAGCTCTGATCTTAATTGGTTGATTAGAACCCTCCCACCGCCTGAAATGAGCAAGGGCCTAATCGGTTTCACACTAAAGGCTTTTGTTTGCCTCCTAGTGGCTGGTGGCTCGCAGCTGCAAGTGCTCTAGGCAAACAGCTAGTAGTGGCGCATTCCTTTCAATGTGTATTTCCCATTGTGTGCCTGTTTATGCTTATGCATCTTGTGATCCCTTCTTCTTCAATGAATATAAATACAAACATGAATTCTCTTCTTGCTAATTATCCCAGTGCCAGGGTGGGCATTCCAAAGGGTGAGGGAGTGGGGAAAATGGGCTATAAAATTCAGCTTCATTGTGAGTCAAGTTCTGGAAACCTTCCCCGCCATTTGGGCTTGCCTGGCTGTTTGGGATCTTATCCTTCTGATGCTGTAAAACAAAGGAAAGCTGAAGAAAAATCGTAAGCACGGTTGTGGTCATGTGATTTTTCACTTAGCAATCGCTTTGCTTAATGACTGAGTTGCCAGTCCCAACTGTGGTCGCTAAACGAGGACTACCCATGCATTTATGCACACCTCTATCCCTCCTGCTGGGAATTGGTGATTGCAACTATAAACAGCAAATGGAAAGTCATTTTTTCAGTGTTTTAGCAAATTAAACTGTAGAGCTGTTACACTTGGTTGTAATTTATTATTCATTAATGAAGCATAATGAGAAAATTGATACCTTGGTTTTTAAATTTTAGTTTCCTATATTGATTCAACAGTTGCGGATAGCTCCAAATTGGGATATGTAAGTAACAAAAAATGTCTCTCTATATTTATAAACTAGATGCAGTGCTACTGTTTATTAAAAGAATGAACTATAAAGGCCCCGGAGACATGATATGAAAAATCATGTATGTGTATTCCATTCTGCCAGTCCCTGAATATTTGCAGCCAAGTCAAGTAACTACAACTAGAATAGCATATTTCAATTTAGAATCTTTGCATGGGATTTATTCTTTAGAGCAGCAGTAGGATCTTCTGGGACCAGGTTACTGAATGATCTTATCTGTAGTCTGAAAGGGTACAGCCTGCAATATTTTCTCATTTCTACTGATTATTTAATGTTAACTGTTATATTAACAATCTCAGTTAATACAGTCTTCCAGCTCACTATTTAGAAAGTAGGTATTTGGACCAGATAATTTGAGCATCCATTTCCTTTTTGCGCTGTTTGGCTGGATACAAAGAATAGATTTGCCCTTGATTTTATCCATCCAGGGGATGTTTATATTCTTAATGGATAGTAAATAAGGAGAACTGCACTTGTGAATTGCAAGAGCTGTAATTTTCCACAGTAAAAAAATTATTTTTAAAAAATGTCAACTAAAGTTATATAGCTGAAAGAAAAGTAAGACTATATTAGCATTTTATGCTAACGTGACATTGTATTTCATCATGACCATTGTGATTGAGAAAGGTGTTAAGCAATTTTGAATGAGAACAAAAGGAAGGGGGAAAATGAAGGAGCAGTATCTCTCTTTTTCTCTGAGAAATTATCGATGGAGTGCTAGAAGTATGCCATTTGTATTTTAAAGTATAGGCAGTAGTGAAACATTTGTAAGAAATGTATAACTTATCTGATATTAGATTATTAAGTAATATTCAAAATCAAATATTCAGGACATGCTAAATTTCAAGGATCTAAAAGAAATATTTAATATTCTCATTTTTATCCCATTCATGGGTTTAATAGTAATACATTTTAAAAAGTAATTTGGATGAGCAATATAGTGAAAATATTATGAACATACAATTAAGTTTAATTTACAATTATTTTGATAATCAGATTATAAAGTATTTTAAATAATGAACGTTTAAATAGTTTTTTGTGCTTTGGACAGATTTAAAATATACTGTATTAAATAGATTTGTGGCTTTCATAAAGTTTATATCCTTTGATTACAGACGTGCCAGATCAGCCCGAGCAATTGGTTTATTGGCATTACATACAGCTGAACTTAAAGAAAATGTTCCAATTCTTGAGGTATTTTACAGAGTTTACTATATATTTTAAGTCTGGTAATTTGTTACTACATTTATATCTCTTTTCTATAAGGAACTCACTGGTATATATAAATTCCCTTAGTAGTGCTTGCAGCATGCATCATTGCTGATTGGGGATTTGAAACTAATTGTAATTTAAGTCTAGCAGTTTAGTTATATATTGGATTTCACAGGCAAAACAATGCCTTTATTAAGCAAGCATTGTGAGAGATTTGTAGGAGCCCCCTAAACTTTTTAGTTTAAAAAATGTTTTTAAAAACTTTCTGAAGTACAGCAAATTTCTGACTTTAATTTTTTTTAAAATTTGGTGTTAATTAGTTAAAAAAAATCCCTTCATATATTTGGTGATTTAGTAAAATTTAAAAGAGATAAAATGGTGTAAGTGAGGAAATTTAATACCTTGGAAAAAAACATGTATCCAGCTTTAAGATCAACAAAGCACTTCATGCATGTTTCAATAGTGAGCAGCATTTAAAGTCTAAATAATGTGTGTTGATGGTGATGATAACTGTCTGGACTATTGTGTAAGGATAATAGTAGCATAACTGAAGGGCAGTTACGCACAGATTTACTTTATCCTGTAGGAAGGATAATTGTCCATTGGGGGATAGAAAAGTATGCATAGTTCCTCCAGTGATCCTAAAATGGCAGTGCAGTTTGGGATTTCTGGAGGTGTACTTTTTGAATAAGAAAAGAGGAAAAAGGCACCTTGTATTTCTTCTGGTAAAAGTAACTATGGCTAGTTCATACTTTGCATTAAGGCATAATCTGTTTCTTGAATTTCAAGGGAGGGTACGCAGGTGCATGGGAGGGTATGCAGATTGGGGAGACTTATCCCAGAACTTGTGACCTTCCCTGCCGACTTTCTGAGGAAGCTAGCAGGGAAAGTTGCAAATGGTGATCATGTGATCGTGGGGTGCTGCACCTAGTTGTAAGTCCGAGCCGGTTGCCAAGTGCCCAGATTGTGATTATGTGAACGTGGGGGTGCTGGGACCGCTGGAACTCCAAGGACCGGTCATAACCACAATTCATTCAGTGCCGTTGTAACTTCACATGGTCGCTGAACAAATGGTCATAGGTCGAGCACTACCTGTATAAGCTGTTTTATATTTATGGTTTTATTTGTAATGGCAAGGATGTGAACGAGATAGTATTTCTTCCCCCTCATGCTCCACTTGTAAAACTTATATTGTGACAGTACGCATAATTCTGTATGGTAGCCTTGAGACTTTTTGATTTGGAGGCCTTATAAAACTAAAAAAAATATTATTAATAGGACTTAGTAGTTCGAAGGAAATAAGTCCCTTTCATATTCTTGTTAGTAATTAAAATTATATTGATATTATTTTAAATAACGGGTTATTTGAATGTCCCTTCACAAAACTTGCTGCACTTTTTTCATTTTTTGAAGAATTTTTCTTTAAAACTGCTTTCAAAACTGGTTTTATATAGTACATAGTGTATTCCTATTTCTTGTAATTGACATATGGAGACTGTCTAAAGTAATGATTTCCACTATTTTTAAAGCAGTAGCCTGTTCTTTTAAGCATTTCTAAAATATACAGCAGATATATGTTTTTTTACATACTGCTTGTAGTCATTTCCAAATGTTTGCTTTGTAAAGAATGGATGTAATTGGCTTATGGAGTGGCTATGTGACTTAATATATGTGTGCTGGAACTGCGGTGTAAGATAGAAGAAAAGTATGTGTGAAAATAAATTGAATGCTTAGCAAATGGTCCAGTATTGACCAGGGATTAAGAAAAGAATCTATGGATAACTGTTTAAGAAATACTTGTGATGTCACAGGTGTGTTGGTTGGGGATGTGAATGTGCTCTTATATTTGTTGTGGTGTTACTTGAGAACCTAAATGATTTGCAACAAATCTTAGATGGATTTTAGATGCAGTGAGAAATATAGATTTGAGAATTAACATATAAAAACCCAAGGTTGTTATATTTGACAGGATAATGGGAAGGACAGTTACATAAACTATGAAAAATTAGACCAAATAGATGAACTTGTGTACTTTAGTAGAATGGTTACTGCATTTTAAGGCATGCAAATGCTGGTAGAAAGGTAGCTGATTTGTCATGATGAATAAATGTTGCTGAAAGAAGCAAAAGTGGCTATGTCTAAAGTGTGCTTCTACACACTTCCTTATATTTAAGGAGATTTGGGTATATCAGGACAAATGTAAAATTATATTGAATGCAGTAGACGTGAGGTACTTAACTGTATGGTAAGACAAGAAGAATTAGAGTAAAAATTATGAGAATGCTGAGTAAATGTAACCTGAATACAGAAAGAAGTGAGTAACCTGTATGAAATAAATGCATTGAGACGATATATATATAGTCATAGAGATAGAGAATGAATGAGGATTGAATTACAAAACAATATGAGGGACATCAACGTTATTCATTATATCTCTCTATACCTTCTGTCCTCCATACTCCCCCCCCCATCTAATGCATTTAATTTCTGTGGCTTATTATTTCTTATTCCTTTTCTTTGTTCCACATAATGTTGCTTGCCATGAAAAGAATAGTGTAATGAATATGTATGTGTGTATTTGTTGTAATTTTATATTTATATTTTACAAATTTCCTAAATTTCTTAAAAGTCAATTTACCATATAAACATTAGCAGGATTACCAAAAGTTGATACTGAAGTTTACTGATTTGTACTATCAGCAGTCTTGGGAAGCCAAACCTTGGTGACAAACAAGTAAAAAAAAAGTATTATCAGTGAAAAGAAGTATTTCTCTTTAATTAGTTTCCTTGTTGAATTTGAACTTGATTAGCCAGACAATGCCAGTTTATGTCTTAGGAATGTTAATATGTTAATATTATGAAATCTTTGGGGGAGATGGGCGGCATATAAATTTAATAAATAAATAAAGGTAGTTGGTTAACAGCATGTGATATGATCACAGCTTCTTTAACGTATCTTTACAGATATCTTTCGTGCTACTGAAATATTCTCTGCTGATAGTATAGCAGCTTGAAATAATTATAAGCGTTTTTTTAAATCTGAGAATCACAACTAAAATGAAGGAACACAGAAATGTTAGTAGTAAGAATACCAAGCATTTTAACCATTACATGTATAATCTCAAAAGTGACAGGTAGTTCTGTAATATTGTTTTGAAATTTGTAAATATTGTATCATAGAGTTGGAATGGATTTTAGAGACCATATAGTTCAATCCCCTGTTCAGTGAAGGAACCATTAGAACATGTTGGATGAGATGAACATGCAGCCTCTGTTTGAAGTTCTCTGGTGAAAGAGAACTCACTACTTCATGTGACTGCCTGTTCCCCTGGCTTTCATCTCATATAGTCAGGCAGTTCCTCTTGATGTCTAGCCTGAATCTTCTCCCTTGCAACACTAACCCTTTGGATTTGGTCGTGACTTTGGGAGCAATAGAAAATAAGTCCACTATCTCCCTTCAGTCCTTCTTTCTGTAGGCTAAACACACTCAGATCCTTTAACTGTTCCTCGTAGGGCTTCTTTTCCAAGTCTTTCATCATCATATAGCCATTATTTGAACTTGCTTCAGTTTGTCCTTTTGGAACTGTAGTGCCTAAATGCCATCTCATTTTAACTTGTGCTGACAAGGACAACTAGACTCTTTTTCATGCCAAGCCAGGTTTCCCTCATCCTAGACCTGTGCCGTGCACTTTTCCTGTCTGGATACAGAATTTCTCCTTATTAATTCCATCCTATTCATTTTAGCTCATTACTATGTAATGAAGAAGAAAATCATGAGGCATTTCATTGAAGACTTTGCTGAAGTCCAGATACACTGTATCTGCTGCATATTCCTGATTTACTAAGGTGGTAACTCTCAAAGAAGAAGATGTATTGATGCAATGAGTGTTTGTGACAAATCTGTGTTGGCGTATGATAATTGTAGCATGCCTTTCCAGATACAGAAATGTTGCTTGATAATCTGTTTGAGAACCTTGCTTGGTATAGATTTCATCTGACAGATTTGTAATTTCCCAGATTTTCTTCCTTCCTCTTTTTGAAGATTTGCTCTCTTCCAGTCTTTTGGGACCTCACCAGTTCTTCTGAAGTTCTCAAATATTAGCTCTGCTAGTTTCTTCAGTACCCTGAGATTTAATCCATCTGACCCTAGAGATTTGAATTCATTTAAATTAGCTAAGTTCTTTCCTTTCCTTGTATACAGGTGAAACTCAAAAAATTAGAATATTGTGCAAATGTTCATTTATGTCAGTAAGG